TGAGTGCAACTATGTGCTGTTCTTGGAGTGCACACCAGGATTAATATTAGTTTTTAAACCTCAGTCGCAATTGTTCTCGATCTTCGGAATTGTCACGTTTTACTTTTATAAAGATGGATGTGTCCAACGAAAATACTTTCCTTGTGGCCTCTAATCAATTTGAAAAACAATTAAATGCCCCCTTCAACCTCCCAGCGACCTCAACACCGGCAGATAGGTCTGCCGACTGCGACAATACCTCGACATTCAATCAGGAAAATAACACAGCAAACGTCCAACCGGTCTTTCCTCAGTCCCTCGCCTTTGGCGACTCGACTCTGAAACGATCCATGGAACCTCACAATTCCTTTCCTCGTCAAGCCGCCCACCAACCCCCCTGCCACAATTCCAGCCCTTACGTTATGCTGGATGGACATCCGCAGCCAGTTGAGGCTGTTGTTGCTCTTGTTGGCCATCTGCGTCGCGAACTGATTGTACGCAACGAACAGATTGCCTGGTTTGAGTCTGAGTTGCGTCGTATGCGGCGGCTGCTTGGCGAACGAGAGCGTGATGTGGATCAACTGAAGTCTGTACTCGATCAAAAGTACGAACCGCCTGTGCCTACCGGTACTGATGCCCTTGAGACGGTTACTGAGGAAGAGACCGCTATGGATGCAGAAGAAGGATTTGGTTTGACCACTGGAACTAAACCACCTCAGGCGGCATCCACTAGAGTAAAGAAACAAGGTGTATCCGGCGAAAGTGTTAGCCGAATTAAGTCGACCGGTTTCGTTCATTATGAAAAGGACGAAAGGTAGGTAACATTTATGTGCCTTTTTCTTTACCTCTGATTTCCAACATATTTGTACGTGGTCATAGTACTCGTTTGTCCATACTTCAGGAAATTCAGTGCTGCGGCTTTCCATATGATTTACTCGTTTTCTGATAAATCATAAGTGATGTTTGGACGGAACATCGCCACTGAATGACGAAGACAGGGAGGAAAGGCGCGTTTTTAACGTTCGAAAAAGGGCAAAATATGCTAAATTCGTTTTTCCAAACGAAACTGGAATGTATGCCGTGCATACGGAGCTTGGGCAAAAGTTTTTTACGATCGCTTCCACGTAGAGTACATGTGGAATCATGAGCAGAGTATCTTCAGTAGTCATGGACAAGCAGAGGGGGTGAAGGTCTGCAGCTGGAGACAAATGCTATTTTTTAGGATCCTGCCTTTTGTCTCAACTTGGCCCAAATAGTACTCCAGAAGTGTT